TAAGCTTTCCACCATCTGCGCTCTCGATTGGAACCCGTTGGGGCAGTAAACCGCAGCAGTGTGTATGATTCATCGTGGAATGCAAAGTCCAGTTTTACCCATCTCCCTTCTTGTCTTCCACTTGGATGTCCCCTACCATTATCCTTTTTGCTGCTGCAGCTATGCTATTATGTAGAATAGCGACTCCTGGTGAGTGTGACCTGCTTGTTGGTGCCCACTGGGCCATCTTGACCCATCTTGATTTCTAGATCAATCTGTTCTGTATCTCTTGGTGCTCACGGGATTCCGTGAGATGTGTTTCTTGAAGGCAGATAAAGTCCGGGGAGTCCCTGTCGTACCATGCTGTGGACTTCATAATATTATTCCACTTGTCGTGATTATCCAGGATACCCGCTAGACCGTTGACATTCCAAAACGTAATTTTCAATTCTGGCTTTTCCGTGCTTGAGTGTTCCCCCCTTTTTCTCTTCACTTGCCTCCCTTTCCCTTGATTATCCATGGCTGTTCAAATATGGGTTTCAAGGATCTTCACCACTTGTCTAAAATTCAAGAGTCGAGCGACGTCATATCTATCCTTGTGGAGTCCGGCTCGATTTTGCTTTCCAAAAACTTTGGCTTCCAGGCAAAGACCTCAATTTTTACTGCGATGGTCGCGCTTCTGGCTACCCATTCTGCAGCTTTCTCTCCTCCCAGTAGCCCATATGGTATGGTCTCTACCACCTGCCACGGCATCCATACCAGATCACCCTTGAGTGCTGCCTCTTCCTGCTGGACCAGCAGTATTGGCCTGAAGTCGACCGACTGGTTTCCGCTCCCAGTGACCCCCTCTTTTGCTGCTAGGTCCTTTCCTCCCATAACGTGAACCCTCGTAGGTAAGTCCTCTGCAATCAGGCTTCGAAAGTCCTTCTATGTGCAAGCACTCACCTTCATGCTAATGAGTTGAAGCGAGCAGTGGATTGCGACCTCCCAGTCCAAGTCCTCGTTCCAGGGACATGGGAGGACTATTCTTTGCTTGGCCCCATTCTTCCCATCCAATCTTGTCGCTGCCTCTATTTCTCGTTGCTGTCCCTGTGCCATTTTTTGCAGGTTGATCGTTGCCTCCTCAAATTCTCGGTTCTGGTCCTTCATAATGTTGACTTGTGCTTCTAAAACCGCTGCTTGTCTCTGCAGTTCGTCCTTGGTGGTCTCCTTTGTCCCTTCTGTCACCTCCTCGGTCTTTGTCCGTAGCTCTTGAGAGTCGTGAGCCTGACCCACCTCGCTTCCCTGGTCCGCCTCTGCCCGTGATTTGCATTTTCTGTTGCTGCGTTTGTTGTCCTTGTGATGATAGGACTTTGGCCATTGAAAACATTTGTTGTATTCCTCCTCCTGCATGTGAATTTTGTTTTTGTTGGTACGTGACTTCCGTGCATATTGGCTGCATAAAACTCTCCTCCTCCATGGTGCGGTTACTATTCCCCTTGCTTTCCGAACTGTCCAGGGTCATTTTCTGCGCAATTTCCATTGATTCGCCCTCCGCTTCCGTCTGCTGCTCTGAACCGTCTTTTTGGCTATTCCCTGACGAGGTTCGTTTAGATGACTGACTCTCTTCGCTTGGCTGGGTCCCGCCGCCGAACTGTGTTCTCTTACCCTGTTGTTCTTGTTGTTACGTTTCCTCTAAGCCCTCCGTCTGCGCTTTCCTTTTCAGGGAAGTGCCTGAGCTGGAGGTGGAGTCGATCATCTCACCTCCCTCTTCTCAGTCCATGTTTTTTCCCTGATGCTCTCGGAATCCCTCCGATTTTTCTTTGGAGCCGTGTTGGCTGTTCCGCCACTGGTCCCGAGCTCTTAGATTTTCCAAAAAAACCTGTTCCGCTGTTCTTCCCACTTGGTGTAGTTCCTCCATGGTGCGGAGTCTCCGCTGGTCATCCTGCATTGTCGTTTCGTCAAGCATTGGCTTCGTAAGGAACCTTGTTTCCTTTTCTTCCATTCTTATGGCTCCTATTTGCCTCCACCTGCTGTTGAAAGGTGGGTATATATCTGGCTTGATGCTTGGGGTACTTTTCAGTACCCACACCCACTTAGGAGACTCCAGGTTATCGTAAAAAATCCATCCCCTGTACTGGGCCGAATTGATGTACCAAACTCCCGATTTGTTTTCACATTCGACCAGCATCGACTGTCATAGTGGTGTTTGCTTGTTGTCGGCGCCTGTCTGCGGGCACTGCGACCCGAGGTGGCCTCTTCCCCTACATCTGAAGCAGAAAGGGTTTGTCTTGGTAGAGACGAAAATCGTGAGTCTTTGCTCGTTTTTCCGGAAGAGCCATTGTTTCGGGAATTTACGCGGTGCGCCCAACTTGACCTCCAAGCAAGCCACTCGTGAATCGTGATTGAGTGCCAGGAAATCCGGATTGGCTGGGAGCCAATCAATGACGGGGTTGTTCGGGTACTCGTCAGATAGCCTTCTCTGAACGAAACTGTGCATACCCTTTGACAAATTATCAAACTGCACCCAGAAATGGTTCGTCATCATTGTCTGCGATGTCTTGATGCTTCCGCCTGCAGGGGGTGTGGTGGCTTCCATGCTTGGATTGTCACCACTGCCCCTCTTCATTTTAGCGAGCCTAGGAATAGCAGGTACTGTGTGTAGTTAGGGTCAACACATACAATCATGACTGTGAATTTGCCCCTCTTATGGTAGGAGACTTCCGACTCTTGTCCTTTTACATTCTCCAGTGTCCTTAGCCTGTCCATCACCCAGCGTCTTTTTTCGTTTAGTGAGAGCTCTCCATTTTTGCCTGAGAAGTTGAATAGGACTGCATGTCGTTCGTATAGTTCGTTAAGGGAGGGAATATCCTGTTCCGGATATTCCCACACATCCACTTCCTCCACTTTCCCGGCTTCTCCTTTTATGGTTTCTTTCGTGTCTTTAATTTGTGCTGATATTTGTGTTTTTTCCAGCACGAACTCCATTGCTCTCTGACCCAACGCCTGTGGTTTGAACCCTGCAGCACCCCCTGATGCAGTTGCTTGTAGGGTTTCCTGTGAAGGTTGACTTGCTTGTCCTTGACTGAACTCATTTTTCTCTTTCTCGCTCATGGCTCTCTGTTGCGGCTCCGGAGTAAGTCATTGCCATGATTGACTGCCTCCTTATGGATGCTCCCTTTGTTCCTTCCTCCCACCCATCCCTAACCCCGCCACCCACTACTTTCTCCTTTGCTCTTCCTCCCCTTACTCGTTCCTTCCCTTTATTTTGGTCTTTAAACCACCAGTACTTCCTAGAGTCGTGCCCGTTAATGCGCCACGATTTTAGGAAACGTACGGGCTACTACAGGAGCGCCCATATTCATCCGACTAGAAACGTTTCTACTCTATTTTTTTTCCGCGGCCGATAGCTGGGCCAAGTACTGGTGGTTTAATTTTTAATTTTCTTCTCGTGTCCCCTGTCACTCACGTCACTCACGTCTCCCATCACTCATTCCTTCCCTTTCTTCCCGCGTCTCCCGTCATACATTCTTCCCTTTGCGTGTGTTGAAGACTGTTGCTAGGACAACCCCTTTTCCACTCAGATAAGTAGATCAACAAATTGAAACAGCTTTACCTCACCTAGCTATACGCTAATGGAGTCAAACGAAGAAGGAAAAAAGCAAACAATATGAAGCCCACTAAAACTGTTGCTTGCCTTCACTTTCTTCCCATGTCTCCGTCACACGTTCTTCCCTTTCTCCTTCTAATTTTTAATTTTCTTCACGTCTCTCCCGCTTCTTTCTCCTTTCGCCCTTTACTGATCTCCCCTACTTCTCTTCCCGGGTCTCCTGTCACTCCGTCAAACCTTCTAGAATTTAATTCTGATATCCGCTCCCGTTTCTTATCCCTCCTTGTTTTAGAGTAGTAAAGTTGCGCAGTGCGCACTAGATGGAGGAAGCGGTTAACCTCCCCGTCTACCTACCCACCCCTTGTTACTCCAGCCCTACCTTCCTCTCTATTACCTGTGTTGATGCCTTGGCTACACTCGTTGGGACTTACTCTCCTCCCCTCCACTTCGTTATCTCCTCTTGCTGTTATTCCGCTTCCCTTGCTGCGATTAACCGGCCCGTTATCCGACTATCGGGCGCTTGGTTTGCCACACTTTCGTTTCTCATACCCCTTCTGACCTCTTCCCCTCCCTCTCCCTTGCCCTTCCACCTTTTAGGCTTGTCTTGCTCTTGCCGTTCTCCCCGCTGAGCTTCCGTCCTGCCGCGATGGTATGACCCCCTTCCCCCCTTCCCCGTGTATGGCTTCCCGCCTCAGGTAGACCACCGCTTTGCCCCTTGCTAGCACTGGCGCGTTGTCACTTCGCCAGCGTCATCCTGTGTTCGCTTTGTCACTCTCCCTCGCCCACGATGGCGTTGGCCCAGGCGCGCACGCCCGGTCTCCGTCAACACCGAGTGTTTTGGCAGCGGTGCTTTAGCGCAGCGTTGCGCGCTCCCCCTATGGCACGTCGCGGTCATTCTCCTCTAGGGCGGCGACCGTTATGACAAACTTTTCTGTTCTATGTCACTGACCTGTCAAACTTTTCCTAATGTTATCGTTGTGCGCCGTATCACAATAGCGTATGACATGCTTTGAGCGAAGTGTCTTGAGATTGTTCATATGTAGACTGCCTGGCATTGCCTCAAAGGTCTGTCAGACTCTGTGTCTCCCTTGCAAAATCCTATGTTGAGCTGAGGCTCTGGCTGCACTCCCGGTTTCTTCTTCAGACGTAATGGGGGCTTTGTGAGCCTCTTGGTGGGAATTTTCAATTTTCAGACCTTTCACTACGCCGTTGAGGGAAGTAACGCCGTACACTGAAACGGCTTGATTTTGATAAGATATCCATTGGTATTTTTGAAAGTTGGGGGGCAAACTGATTTGGAAATGAGGTTTGTTGAAGTAAGTTCTGACAAATAAATAAATAACTAAATAACTAACTAAATAAATAAATAAATAAATAAATAAATGATGCTTCCTCATTCGGCTGTCTCTGCTGTTGCTCTTTTGTGCTGCAGATTACATATCTATCATGTCATTTCTGCCACGGCAATGGTCATACACTGACAAATCTGGCCGGCTTTTGAATGCACTGCATGACAACATTCGGCATGGTCCAATCTTCGAGATCATGCGGGTGAAGTTGATGCGGTACGACGGCGCACTGCCTGCAGCAACTGAAAAGTTCAAAGGGATATTCGATGGTCAAGACAGGATTGATGATCACCCAAGCAGACCTGCTGACACACCACCAGTGTCAGTGGCAATGCGTGTTATGTCGCTGCATGAGTTTGGCTGGTGTTGCCTCTTGCTTGGGGAATATGAGAAGGCAGCAGAGTATTTCAGCTCCCTTTGTCAGGTGTGGATGAAAACTTGAAAAGGTGTACATGCAGAAGCGAATTCTTCCAGTCTTTCCAGACCAGCATGACTTGCCAGGGGAAAAGGAACAGGACCGATGCTCCCCAGGATGGGAGCTAGGACCCATGAGGGCCTCTTTTCTCGACAAAAAAAAAGAGAAAAAAAAGTCAACCATATCAACAAACAGTGATCTGTTAACCAACAAATTATTTTCCGTTATAAACTGATGCATAGTAAGTTAGTAACTGACAAAAAGAAAAAGAAAAAGAAAAAGAAAAAAAAATCGCGAAATAGGCGGGGTCTATGTGACCAAATCTGCCCACTCACATGGGAGTGCTCTTTCAACAGAAGGATCTACAAATGGACTTCCATGTTGACAGAGACGAGGCCCTGCAACTCTTTGGAAGTGGGTGCCTGTCTGTCCCTGATTATATTTTTGCCTATTTGCCTTGGGCAAGGGGCCCATTGGCCTCATGTACCTTGCTGGGCAAGCTTGGCACGCGCCACCTAGAGATATGCCGTTGGTCCCCCCGAGTGGCATTGAGCAGAGACTGCTGATGTTCATAGGGAGAGGGGACCGGAGGGGAGGCACAGTGACTGGCCCATGGGAGAAGCTCGGTCCTGATGCTACCGGCTGACCCCTGGCCGGTATCGCCCACCTGCTGGTGGGTGCAGCTCCCACGTGTTTGCAATAAATCGCAGTATCCCAGTGGGACTGTACACTAACTGTGTTTGTTCTTTCCTTGTTTTGGGCGTTGCAGGACTTGATCCCATGACCTGTAGTGTGTTTGTGGTGTTTGACTGAGGTTTACTGGGCTTGAACCTTGGACCTGTTGCTAGTAGTCTCTACTTCCTAGTCTTAGGCGTTTCAGCCTTGTTGTTTTGTCCTTTTCTGCTCTTCTGGAAACTGGTAGGCCCGGTAGGTCTTCCTTTTGTGTGTCCTAGCCTCGGGTTCCCTTAGTCTAGGTTTCCATCTAGATGCATGTAGGTAGATCTTGACTGTTTGGCCATAGATATTTGCTGTTTGGACGGTCAGATAGGTCTGTAAGTGGCTGCTGTGTTGTAGGTCTAGGGAAGTTGGGTAGAAGTAGGCAGAGGCCGACGAATTTGGGGTTCTTTTCATTGCTTTTCCTTTCACGGTCTGGGTGGACGTTGTGTTGCTTCCCTGCTTCGCTTTTGTGGGCATGTACGCAGGGCATCTTCTCCACAGGCCGCTGGCAGCCATAGCTGGGGCCGTCAAGCTCCATTAGTGACAGCTCTGGGATGGGCGTGCTTCCTCATATTCGTGTGCTTGTTGGGGTTTGGTCAGCCGCCAGCCTGTCACCAAGCTGCACTTATCTTCATCCAGTTGCTGTTCTTCTTCATCGTCCTGGGATCTGCGCTCCCCTGCTGAGTGGACATTTCATCTGCAGTGGGCTTCTTGAGTGGTGCAGAGAGGGGTGTTGGATTTAGGAGGGTGTCTAGCGATTGGCAGGCTTGATAGGTTGGGTGTGTGCAAGCACCATAGCTTGAGCTTGAGGAAGAGGGACGAAGAAGAAGACTCCCGAATACTTCGATGAAGCCTTGTAAGGTCCGTGGGTGTTGATAATGTGGTTGGGATCCTTGGAAATTCCTGCTGTTGATTGACTTAGGGAGAGACGGTAATTAGAATTGATTTTCATTTCAATTCTATTTTCGGTGTTTGTGGGCTTCCCCCGTGTATTCTTATCAACCAGTGTGCTGTGGATTGCTCCCTCCAAAGGTCAACTGTCATTGCACATGTGTATGGGAACGTGTGGATGGCCTGTTGGATCACGTTTCAATCATGCACATAACATGTTCCCCTGTTGGAGGCTTGAGCACGGATGTGGCTGCTACGGGGTTCCCCGTAATACTATAATCACAATAAAAAAGGCCCGAAAGGACGTCCTGTCCAGATTCGACAGGTAATTGAATTGGTTGGGCTTAAAGAATTAAAAAAAAAGGGGGGAAAAAGAGGGGAAATTGCAGAAATAGTTGAAATACCGTTTTTTGAACTTTTTCGAACTTTTTAAAATGAATCGTAGCAACTATAACGGTCCCCGCAGGAATTGTGGCAAACAAACAGGTTTGCGGGCAGCCCACCCTCTTTCGAGGTGTATTTATAGATTCTCTACAGATATACTGACAGGTGATGTTCTCAGCAGCAAATATACCCAGTACCTCCTCTTGCAACAGTGAACCCGTCGGCCTTGGAGCCCTTGCCTCAGGCCAGGCCGACGGGTCCTCTGTGACAAAAGAAGGTACCGCCCGGTACATCTGCACAGAAACCTTGAACGGTATTTCTGCAACTTTACCGGTACATTTGCCACAATACCAGTGCGGACCGGTAAAGTCGCTAAGATTTTATTATTATTATTTTATTTTATTTTTCTTAACAATCAAAGTTAAGTCTGAGATGAACTCAAATCCTGCTGATTGGGATGAAACCACCCCAGATCCTGATCCTTCCTTTCCACCTCTCCCATTTGTTTCCTGCTGTTTCCTGCAGGCAGGCATTCCCAACAGAGCTGCCAAATCACCGCCCGCGCCCCCCTCCCCCCCTCCCCCCCTCCCCCAACTAACTTTTTTCCCTTTCACACCCGCGCACCCCCCCYCCCCCCCACAACCCCTACCCCCTCTGACCTGCAGTCCAGGTATTCCCAATGGATGGTGCTACGATACGTTTTGAAACCGGTGTATCTGCAATTTTACCTAGAAAATGACCATCCTCTCACGAGATGTAATGCCCATTGCGATTGCGATTGCGATTGCGATTGCGATTGCAGATGATGGAATTCTCTCTCCGCTTTTGTACATTGCAGCGGCGTTCCCCTTCAATCCCTGTCCCGAACTTTCGAACTCTTCAATTCTATAACTGTAAAAACTTCATCATGAGAAACAAACTGGGAGTTACTCGATATTTGCTCAGCTCTGTGGCTGCATGGTACACAAATGTCGCTGTTGATAAGCAAATCGTGAGTTCAAATCTTGACGAATGGACTAGTGTTAGGGAACTTGGGGATCAAAATCGTGAGTTCAAATCTCGACGAATGGACTAGTGTTAGGGGACTAGTGTTAGGGAAAAAGAAACTTAAAAAAAGGCAAAAGGAGTTTCCCGATACAGGATGAGAGCAGGGCGAAGTCAGGACTCATGTCAACGAACTGAACAGAACAGAACAGAACAGAACAGAACAGAACAGAACAGAACAGAACAGAACAGAACAGAGGAAAGCAGAGTTGAGATTGCAATTCTGCAGGCAAGGGATCGACCATCGAAGGGTGAACAGTGAATAGACAAAGACACCCTGAAAAAGGAACCCCAAGTGGATGAAGGATTTCACCAAGCCATCATAACCATGGATGGGAAAAAGTAAAGTGAGTCGGAGGATCGCAGGCAAGCCAATCAGATGTAGTGTAGGAAGGAAATGTGAAGGATCAGCCGTTCCGGCGTTCTGCTGTTGCAAGGGGCGGTCTCTTACCCATCTTTGAACCGCCATCGCTTCGCTTGTGCAAGGGGCATGCCCAGTGGGAGACCTTTTATCCTCCTTTAACTGCGTGCTGCGACATTTTGAGGGGGGGGGGCTTGCTTCTTGGCCATTCGTGTTCATCCCGGTTAAAAGCTATAGGGGGTACCAGATACATAGGCAAATTATCGTTCCTGTTTATTGCTTGCAGTCCTCACTCTCACCATGGGACCAAGTTGTTTGGCAGCTGTATCTTATGTGGTGCTTTTTCTGGTGTTTGCTCAGCCTGTTTCCTCTACCTTCTTCCCCCCGAATAGAACGTGCGGTCATTATAAGCTGTATTTGGGGTATATTTCAGTCTTGACTCTTAAGTACACCTATAATGGCCGTACGTTCTGTTTGGGGGAAGACGGTAGTCATCCACGAAGAAGCTGTTGATTGGTACAATTCAATATAAACCTTATTATAAAGCTTATAAGCTAGCACATCCCGGTGCAGGGTTTTGTCAAAAAGAAAAGGAAAAAAAAAGAAGGAAAAAAAAAAGGCTGAACCATTGACGAGAGAAAAATCTTGGTCAACTAAAGTCACTAAACTTATTTTTGATGTTTTATCTGAGATTTATGAAAAAATGCAATGGGTGCCTGTTATTTGATCAGAGATCTCCATCTTGGAAGGCATATTATCTTCTGATGCAGTCCATATGCCTCTGGGAGGCAGGCCCACAACACCATGGTCAAGCGGCGGACCTCCTCAGGGAAATTCTACAGCACACCAAAAAGAGCAGCAAGTCGCCACCAGTTGAGCAGTACGCAGCACGTATTGCTAATCAATTCACTACAACATTGCAGGTGAGTTGGGCGTTCCCTTCTCTCCCTGCATTTCTCCTCTTTCCACTTTTTTTTTCCCCATCTGGTGATTCTGTATTTCAAAACAATTCAACCTTATAGAGAGGGGGCGAAACAGTCCCTCTCCTCCCACAGTTCCCTTTTGATTTTTATAATGTGGCAGGCAGCAGGATGGACCACGGATCAAATGTTAATAATTAAACTGATCAGAACAGAATCAACAGATACTACAGTCGATCTTAGCCAAAAGGCACTTTTGAGTTTGGGGGAAAAGGTCAGCGGCGCACTCTGTTGGTTTTCAAATGACAGGAAAGCATCGCAACATCTTTCGGTAAGTGTAGGGCTTTTCAGGACAGCAGCAAGGCACAGGGTGGTGACGTGATACCATGGGGGATACACCCACGTCATCCTCACTTCGGTCTAGATCGAAAGCAATAGGAAAACGATGAAAGAGGACCTGAAAAGAGAAGTCGTTCAAATAAGTTTAGCACAAAATGTGAGGCTTTACTGTCGTGGAGGACATAATGTGCTACATCAAGAATGTACTGGCATGCATGATGCACCCAGCATCAATCATGAACTGACAAGCGAGGAATGGCATAACCACCAAAAGAGAGCTACCACCTCCCCCCCCCACACACACAAAGTGTTCAAAGGTTCCTTCATATCTGCTTGGCAACTGAATGGTACACACATGTCGCTACTGATAAATAGAGAAAGAGTTCAAGTTATGGTAACCGGCCTGACGTCCGGATCGGGATGTAGACAGACTGCATCCGGTTGTCTTGGTCCGGTGTCTGCTCTGGTAGGTCTCGATTATGGCCCCCCGAAAGGACATTTGGAAAAATAAAAGGCGGCACCTAGGCACCTAGGACCTTTGCCGGGGCCTATGTGCAATGAATTGCAGTGTTATGTGGGCTGTACACTACTTCGATCTGTTTTGGCTGGTTTCGTGACCTGTACCGTGGTTTCTTTGTATGTGTAAGCCTTACTGGGCTCGATCCCTAGATCTGAATGTGAGAGTCTCTGTAGGGTAGTCGTAGAACCACTGGGCCTCTCTGTTTTGTCCTTTTCTGCCCTGGAGTTGTATGTCCTTCCCTTTTGCCAATTTTAGGTCTAGATTCAGTCCTAGGCTATAGGCTGTCGTACCTATGCTGTAGGCTGTCGAGTGAGGGAAAACAGCAGTCTACAAAAGTGTTGAGGGCAAGGGAAAACGGATTCTGCTCGTCATTTTTTTCCCACGAAGTGCTGCTGGAGGTTGTTCCCTGCTTGGTGTTGTGTTATCTTACCATGCTGCTAGGGCTGGTAGCCATAGCTGGGGCTACCTAGCTCTTGTTGAGACAGCCCTGGGTGTCAGGCACTGTGCTCTGTGAGGTGCCTCCTATTACCTGTGCTGTTGGGGATAGGCAGCGCTGCCGTCGGGACCCTTCTTCGAAGTGTGTGTCGAAGCGGAGGCCATCGTCTTCGTCATCAAGCGCTGGTGTTCTTCTTCTTCGTCCTGGGAGCTACCCTGCCCTGTTGAGCGGACACTTCATCTGCAGCGGGCATCGATATTAGGATGCTGAGTGGTGTGTCGGGTTCAGTAGGGTTGGTGGCGATTGGTGGGCTTGATAGGTTGGGCGCAGGCCTGCGCCATAGCTGTGAGCTCAAGGTTGGGGGGAAGAAGAAGTGTCCCTTACTTGATGAAACTCTGTAAATAGTTGGTTTGTGGATGTTGATAACGTGGTTGGGATCCTGGGAATTTTGGTGCTGGTGATTGAACTTGAGAGAGAGGGTTTAATAACTTTAATTAGAATTGATTAATTTCAATTCTATTTTTGGTTTTGTGAGCTTCGGCTGTGCATTCTCCTCATCTGCTGTGGTGTGGGTTTCTCTCTCCAAGGCTGCTTGTCATTGCACATGTGTATGGGAACGTGTGAATGCCATGCTGGATTCGTTTTTAATCAGCCACATAACATAGGCACTCCCCCAAAAATGGTACTGCAATTTTTCCTCCATTTTTCGGCCAAACGGACGATACCAGACGGTGCCAACAGTTGGTTGGGCCAAATCGGGTTGGTGTCTACAATAGGCCGCTAGGGCAGGAGGATTCACCTCCATTGTTGTTCCCGCCGGCATGGTTGTTGTGCCCTCCAAGAGCAGCTGCCAACCCCCGGGTTGTCGGGGCCTTTGAAGTGATACGTGGCGAGGAGTAGGAGGGAGAATGCGGCCATAGGGATGAGAGGAGGACGAGGGGTGCGGAGGGGGAAGAGTGAGGCCATAGCGGTGAGAGGGGGCGAGGAATGCAGAGGAGGGAGGAGTGCGGTCATAGCGGTGAGGGGAGGACAAGGTCTGGGGAGGAGGAAGAAGAGGGATGAGTATCACTATGGTGGCAGTGGGAGCAGGAGGACGAGGGGCGGCAGGGAAGAAGAGGAGGGACATGGATGAGGAGGACGAGGACGAGGGGGAGGGACGATGAAGATTGCAGAGGAGGAGGAGGAGGAGCGACGTGTACGATGGCTGTTTTTCATGCTCTGTCTCATTTCTAGTGCATTTTCAACTCTTTTTTTTTGGGGGGGGGATGTCTTTTTTCTTCCCCCCTCCAATCCGGACGATTCAAGGGTCCCCGAACGGCGGAACCCAACCGGACAGTCCGGGTCCGATATGGTCCGGATGTCTGGTGCCTTTTCCAGTTTTCCGGACGTCTGGATTGATCCAGAATCCAGATGCATGTTTGGTTGTTGGACTGGACTGGTTTTGTCTCTGGGTCTACGGGTTACCATGGTTCGACTCCTGCTGGATTAAGTAAGGTTAAGGGCTACCACCTTCTTTTTGGAAAACGGAGAGAAAAAGGAGTTCCTGTCTATCGAATGGAAAATTTGTTGTCTCTCCCAGTGATTGCCATTGTCATATTTGCCAGCCATAAGGCGTTGGGGAAGTGCCAGCAAGAGGAGATGGGTGGTGAACTTTGTATTATTCTCTCTCTCTCTCTCTTTCTCTCTCTCTCTCTCTCTCTCTCTCTCTCTCTCTCTCTCTCTCTCTCTCTCTCTCTCTCTCTCTGTAAACTTAAACCACCAATACACACGGGCCTGCAGGTGCATTCCTGCGCGCCAAGCTTTTCCGAACCGTCAGCGGGGCACTTCTTTTCTTTTTTGGCTGGCGCCGCCAGCCATTGTGGTCCGGTAGGCCGAGCCT